TCTTGACATCCCCAGGCTTTAGCCCAGGGCCACACACGTAGTTGACTCCATCAGTCATTCTCTAGAGGCTCTGAGTAGAATGACATTCTGTGAGAGAGGAGCCCGACTTCTAGACTGAGGGAAAGTCTACCCACCATTCATCTCTCTACCCATCCGTTCGACAAGGATTTACTGTACTAGGCATGAGGCTGGGCATTGTGGAGACGGTGATGAACAAGACAGCCAAGGTTTTTGTCCTTATGCAGTTGACAGTCTGTTAAAGATGGACAGAACTGGCTGTGGATTAAAAGGTACAGCTGGAACCCTGTTGCCTGGCGTGCCTGAGTAGGTGGCAGATAAATACTGGGAGAAGAACCAGGAAAAGGTAGAGAGAATTCGCAAGGGGCCACCAAGAACAACCTGCTTTTTATTCCAGGACTTCTAGAGCCCAACTTTGGCTGTATTTGGGACATAACCGTAGAGAACAGTGTAATTTTTGCCTGTGCAGCGTCCATTCCCCTCCGCCAGTAGCCCCTTCATTTTCTTTCTTTGAGGAAGCCAGGTGTCTCCCACTGTCAGACCAGAGGGTTGGGTAGGGCCGAGTCCATCTCCTGCTCATCCCTATAGCTCCTGGGGTGGGCAAGTGACCCAGAGCTGACCGAACAGTGTAATCCAAACCCCTCGGCCACAGTGATTGGTTCATACATTGTCACATGACTTAGGCCAATGAGAACATTCCGGGACTTTTATAGGAACTATTGGGAAAGAAAAGAAAATTTTTTTTGGACTGTTAGTAGTTAGGACAGTGTAAACCTAGAATGCCCCAGACCGCAGTGTGAGGAGAGCTAAAATGGAGGAAAGAATGACTGGGGTCAGGAGGAGGAAGAAAGAATGAGAATCTTCCTGACATCATTTGAAGCCTGGATCAAGCCTTGCCTGAAGCCATACTTCCAGACTGCTCAGGTACAAGAGTCAAAAACACAAGCTCAAAAGTAACACTCCTTTCTTTTTTTCTCCTGAAGCCAGTTTAAGTCCTATATCTGTCACTCACATAAAGAAAATCTTATTTATGACAAATGTTTGCTATGTGCTGGGCCATTTGCCTCTAGAACATTCTAGATTCCAGGCTTCCTAGGCAGTACTCCAAGAACCAGAGGACTGCAGGATCAAAGCCCTTTATTTCTCTCTCTCGACCCTTAGAGTTTTCTATCTTGAATTCCAGCTCTCTCTGCATGTATCTTAACTCTCCTAGTAGATTGCAAGAGCCTTGGGACCTGCTGCGTATCTGGGTCTTTTTGTATTTTACATGAAATTTAGCACAACCTCTTACATATAGTTACCCATGAAATAAATATCTAACACCTACTACATGGGAATGGCTGTGTTGAACGAATGAATGATTACTTGAATTATTTTGGTAATTCCTTCATATATGAGGAAACAGAAGTTCAGGGAGTTGCTTGCCCCAAATCATGTAAAATTGCAGTCAAGGAGGGACCAGCATGTTGCAGATACAAAGTATTCATCTGAGGAACGAATCGGCAGCAGAGTCAGGACTCGAAACCACAGATAATCAAGAGGCCCCTTGCTCTGAACCAGGGACTACTTGAGTGTCAGCTGACGTCCCTGAGCAGTCCCTTTTGTGATGAAGAAACTTCCCTGACCTAGAAATGAACCTGGGAGGTGCCATCAGCTGACCGAGGGTCAGACAGGCTGACACTGCCCAGCGCTTCCCACCCTGACATCGGGAACCTTGGCTTGAATCTTCTAAAAAGTCAGTTTGGGGCAGTCTCTTTGCCCCACAGATGCTGATGGCCTGGCCCGAGTCACATTTGCAAGAGCAGTGCTGTCCAGTGTAGTCCAGCATCCCCTAGGCAAGTGTGGCTAATTAAATTTAAGTTTAATTTAATTTAAATTCAGTTGCTCAGTTGGAGTAGCCACATTTCAAGTGCTCAATAGCCACATGGAGCTAGTGGCTGCCACATTAGACAAGGCAGGCACAGAACATATCTGTCACTCCAGAAAGTTCCATTGGATAGTGCTAGTCTGGAACCACCAGACTTCTAGGGGCAGATTGTGCGAGCATGTGTGTGTGTGTGCGTGTGTGTATGTGTGTGCGCGTGCGTGCGTGTGTGCATGTGCCTGTGTGTGCATGTGTGTGCACGTGTGAGTGTGTTACTGAGCACTTAGCTTATGCCAGGCACTGGGCTCACTTTGCAATCACTATACAAATACCATCTCATTTAATTCTCACACTGAGATAGGTGAAATTATCATCCTCAGCTCGCAGATGGGGAAACTCAAGCTCGGAGAAGTGAAGCCACTTGCCCAAAAAAGTGCTAGAGCTGAGCTTCGAATCCCGGTCTCCGTTTTCTGCGGGAATGCATCCACCCCTGTGGTTTCCGAGGTTTAATGTCAAGTTCTGTCTTCTGGATCTGACCTTGTGTGTTAAACAGAGGACTCAGCTAGAGGACCACCAAGCTCTATGTCACTGTGGCTATTTAAGGAAACTTCTCTTCCCTTCCTCCCTTCCATTCCTTTTTCTTCCTTTCTCCGTCCTTCCCTGTTCCTTTCCTCCCTCCTGCCACCTTCCCCACTCTGAAATACTCAGTGTGGACGCTGACAAGTCAGAGTGCACTCTGCTATAGCACTCGGTGGGGGGGGGGGCCGGGGGCTCTGGAGGTGCCCTGGAATGTGCTGGTATGGAAGGGCGGCAGGGGCACCCCAGGGTGCTCAGGGTAGTGGCTATTTACCAGCCAGTACAGAATTATTTCAGTATTTTAACAGCTAACACAAGCCCTCCCAGAGACCACCAGTGTGCCTGGCACGGAGTCACCAAAACAGTAGGACCTAGGACTCTGCGAAGAAAAGTTGGAGCAGTGCTTACTGCTGAGGTCCCTACCCTGCGACTCACCGGGGGGCCTCTTCCATCGCCTCGGTGGGACACCAGGCGGAGACTTCACAGGTCTTCTGTTTCCCTTTATACTCTATACACCTTCCGGTCTGGATTCCTGTGGGGTGGAGAGGTCGCAGAAGCACACATGTCACCATGGAGAAGAGACTTCAGGAGGCGCAGCACTAACTCGACCCAAGTGAGAGCCTGTTTATGCTTTGCAACCCACACAGTTCTGATTTCCACGAAGCCCCATCCAAACCACAGACGTACGTGAGGTCGACCACGCAAGCAACACACCTAACGTGCTTTTCTAAAAAAGCATCAGAGAGAACACGGAAAGAACATCGATGCTGCTAGCTCTTCTGGCTTCTTTGCAAGAGAAGATTCCTGCGAGGGAAGCGGGCCCCTCCTCTCACCTGGGATAAGTGAACTAGAACGTGGCTTCTCAGTGGGCATCTGAGTCCCTCTGAGTATGTACGGCAGGTACCAGGGAACAATAAACATGGCACATCTTCCTGGAGTATCAATGTCAATTAAAAGTTCCCGAGGGGGAAGTTAGGTAGTAAATCATGTTCAAATGATCTCTATAGCAACTCAAACATACATGTATTATGGACCAAGATGTTAATATTCATGCCTTTTTGTGTATGTGTGTTTTATAATCACGGATTTTTCTCTCTTTTTCTCTTATGGTCATTTTTTTTTTTTTTTTTTTGGTCATGTGCCTCTTTAAGTTAAAGAAAAAAAGATAAGGACATTCTCCGGGTCGATACCGGTATGGCCCCAGGTGTCCTGGGGGTACGAGGGCAAGCTCCTCGGCCTTCGGGGAAATTTAAGAGGGAAAGTTTAGAACACTCGGATGATGCCGTAGGCTGTTTAATATTTCCGTCAGGGCCCTGAAGGTGCTAATTCTGCGAGGTTTTCAGGAGCTGTCCTCACTGGGGAATTAGAGTCACAACCGCAGTCAGCAGCTGGTCCTCTAGGGACAGAGCCGAGGGACAAGGCGGACACAGGCTCGCCCAAGGCTTGGTGAGGGTAGAAGAAGACAGCCGAGAGCCAGAGATAAAGATCTGAACTTTCGGGCATTGCGAACGTCACCAAGTTGCCAGACCATCCTTCCCCGGGGTCCCAAAAGGAAGCAGATTGTACCTTTGCTCTGCGGGTCCATCCATCCCTTTTTACAGCCCCGGTCGGACGAACAGAGTGTCCTGCGGGCGGGATACTGCGGAGAGAAGCACAGGGGAGTGGGAAGTAAGCATGGCGTGTCTCTCAGGGGTGCAAAAGCGGATGTCTGTGTCCACCAGAAAACTGTACGTGGATATGCACATCAGCACGGTTCGTGAGAGCCGAAAGGTTGGAAACGGCCCAAATATCCAGCAGCCCGTGAAAGGGCAAATAAAATGCAGTACGTTCACACAATGGAGTATTGTTTGACCATGAACAGGAAGGAAGTACTGACACGTGCCGCACCGTGGGCGAAGCTCGAAAACACCGGTAAGTGAAAGAAGCCAGACATAGAAGGCCACATGTCGTCAGGTCCCATTTACATGAAATATCCAGAGGAGACAAATCTAGAGAGACAGAAAGTAGATCAGTGGTCGCCGGGGAGTGAGGGAAGCGGGGCTGATGGGTATGCGGCTTCTTCTGTGGGCGATGAGAATTTTCTGAAATTAGATCATCGTGATGGTCGCACAACATTGTGACTATGCTAGAAACCACTAACTCGCACACTTTAAAAGGGTGAGTTTTATGGTATGTGAATTATAGCTCGATAAAAAGTAAAAATAAATAAAAAGCTAAAAAGCAGACCTCAGGGCAGCCTGGGACCATTTTCAGAGACAGCCCGCAGAGTGGCGAGCAGGTGGCCTGGTCCAGGGAGCCCCGTGGCTGCGGGACCGGGTGGAGCAAGCAAGCGCGGAGGCTTGGCAGGAAATGTGGAACTAAGGGACGCCGGCCAGCGCCCCAGCCTGGCCCGAGAGAACGAGGCCAGCCAGGTCTCGGGCCAGAGGGCGAGGGCAGAACCCGGGAGGAGAGAGATGTGGCGGCTTGGTTTATGCATGTTCTACTTCCCTCGTTTTCTAGGGAGCAGGCTTAATGGCCAGTCTAAGGGAAACCAGAACCTGGCACAGCATTGTCTTAAGTGGTTGTGAAGATTAAATGAGCATTACTGACAGATGCCAAGGGAATGTTAGCTTGGTTCTCAGTTCCGGTAGGTAGGCAAAGACGGTAGGTAATAGGAGACAGCATGTGTACTGTGAGCTCTCAGACACTCAGAAGTCTAGACCCTGTCACCTGAGTGGGCTGACGAGCCATGGGCAAGGCTGGTCCTCCCACGGGCAGGAGAGCTGCTTGATGGCGCCACGGCACTGCACCCCTCCATGTCAGCATGGTCCCTGGGAAAGCTCAGGTATGTCACCCGAGAGGGAAATGGCAGGAGGGTGTGAGTAGCAGGTAATGCCTAGTGACACCCCGCTACAGATAAACTTACCAGAATAGCTCCTTCTCATCTCAGAGAGCAAAGAGCGGGGCTGGGGAGGGCCAGACTAGGACAAAGACATTTCGATAGGGAACAGTGTTTTCCGGAACGAGGTAAGGGAAGGTCGAAAGCATGAAGAGGGCCGAGCCAAGCTGGGAAAGACCGTGTGGGCAGTGGCCGGGGGACATGGAGCATTCGCCTGATGTAGAGGCTAACACCGAGACGTGGGTGAAGAGGCAAACTCGAGCTGACTGGCAGCCTGGCCCTGCAGACGGCTCACAGCCGCGCTAGGAGAAGCCGTCAAAGAGGATGTACCTGCTTCTAAGCTCAGCTCTGCCTCCGGCAAGCTGGGCGACACGGGGGAAGTACTTAACCTCTCTGATCTGTGTTCTGACCTGTAAAATAGGCCTGGGAATGCTGTTACCCTCCTAAAGTCGTCGTGAGGCTCCCCTGGATTGTGAAAAGCTGCACACATGCCAAAGATCTGCGTTGCCATGAGCCGTACAGGGGCGAGCGATGGAGAAAGCAGGCCCCCTGCCTGCACAGGCCCCCCCAGTGCTGGGGCTGGACACCGAGGGCACAGACCAAGGTCGGGCGGCTACAGAGGGAGAACCGCAACGTCTTCCCACCCTCCTTCCGCCCCGACCTACACCCCACAAAAGAGGCTCGGTAAGCATGTGTGGGCCCGAAGACACCCCGGATCTCCATTTCCACTTCCTCTGACCCGTACCTCCCCCAGGAACTCTTATCACCTGTCAAACCGCTCCGGCCCTCTCCTTACCTCGGGACACAGCCTCTGCTCCTGGCCTTCTGTCTTGAGAAAGTTTGTCATCACAAAGAAGGAATTTCCCTGTTGAGAAAAGGAGAGAAGTCAGAGGCAAAGCCTTTGAGAACAGGACTGCTTAATCATCATAATCCGGCTTGCTAAGTGCCCGGGGGCGAACCTCTCTGCTCTTCTAAGCTTCAGCCTAGAAATCAGGGTCCCGAGCAACGGAGCACCACGGGGCGACATGGAGGGCTTAATATCAAAGCTGGATGAGCCGCCCTGACGAGCAGAGGGGGAGCAGAGGCACAATCCAACTGATCGAGTATTCATCTCCATCCCAGCCTCAAAAGCAGCCTTTTCATTTTTTGGACACAGTAAAATCCCATTAAACTGAAGCTCAGGAGACCTGAGGAGGTGGAGGTGGGGGTGTTGGCTTCATCCGAATGCAGTTTAGAGTATCCAGGTCTTAAAGGGCGATAAATAGGGCATCCCACCACCTGGGAAGTAGCCGGAGATTTTAATGACCCAGTGTTAGAAACGAGCAGATAGCAGCTTCGGTTTTACGGTTTTGCAAATGTGCTCTTTTGTCCCTCCCGTCCCCCGGCTGTTCCTCGGTGCTCTCAATCACACTTGATTTCTCCTTTTTGACAATTCTAATTTCATTTCCTCTTCTTGCAAATTTAGACAGTTACTGAGACCTTTCTATGACCCACACCCTTTCTTTGTCATCTCATCCTTCCTTTGTACAAAAACATACCCCAGAGTGTTTTCCTGGAGACATTTTTGTTGATAAAATGCCACACAAACAATAGAGAAGGGCTGGTCCTCTCCAGGCAGAAAGTTCTTTGCCCTTCTAGGCAGACCTTGCTGACTCGATGGCCCTGCTTCTAAAAGGCAGCGTGTAAATCAAAGTGGGAGTGAATCGAATCGTGTTTTAAATGCACCAGGACATACTGCTATTTTGAGAAACCCTGCAGGACTTGCTAGAGCAAAGAAGCATCTCTTTGAGCTGTTGGATCTGACCCAATTTTGCAGTTTTTAGGTTCTCTCAGTTGGGATTTTCACAGAGCTTTTAAAATAGGGCCGGTGTTTTTCTGGAATAAGGCTCCAGGTCCCAGGGGAGGGGGGCGTGGCCCTGGTGGGAGGATGCTGACGGGTGGTCACCTGCAAGGGGAAGGTGTAATCCGCAGTGTCGAAGACGGTCTGCACCACCTTCTTCATCCCGTCCTCCACGACCTCCTCTCTCACCTCCGCTATGCCCTTGACCTTGGTGTGCACGGAACTGATGACGGGCTCTTTCCGCTGGTACAGCTTGTCACTCACCAAAGCAAAGCTAAGTGGTGGACACAGAAAAGCATCAATGGTTTTCTGGAGGGAGGCGCCATGCAGTGGTTTCGAATGCAGGTGCTGAAGGCCACCTCCATTCAGATCCCAGCTTTGCTGGGTGACGTTGGGCAAGCGACTCGCCCTCCCTGGGGCTCATTTTCCTTAGCTGTAAGACAGGAAGAATGGTCATACCTACCTCATGGGGTTGTTGCGAGGATGAATTTCGATCCGTATGTGAACTCCTTAGTATTGTATCTGGCACACAGTGCTCACTAAACTATCGTCCTAATGCCAGCCTCTAGTATTGCCGAATACAGACCCTAATTTTTAGGACAGCTTCTCAAATACCAAAGTCCACCCCACATCGGTCCACCAGCCCTGGTCTGGGGCTCAGTAATATATCACCTCAGTAATATATCACCTAATAATAAGGGTAGGTCAGCCACCAGTTCTCCAGAAAGACACACTTGGTTTGTAAATAATACTGATAATAAGAACCCTTATTGAGCCCTTGACACGGGCCAAATACTGCACAGGCATCATCTCCTTTAATCCTCACAATAGGAGAAAGTTACTGTAATCTCCACCCTTCCATAAACCAGGGAATGGTCTCAGAGAGGTGAAGGAACTTGCCCAAGGTCACACACGTAGTGGCAGATCTGAGACTGAGCGAGTCTCTCATGTGGCCCAGAGCCAGATCTCTTAGCCAGGTGTGCTATACTTGTTCACACAGGATGTAGCTCCGAGGCGTCTGGTTTCCTGTCTTTTGGTCAGTTCATTAGCTGTTAATGCCTTATTTAGAATGTGAATCTAAATTGTTATGGTGGGAACTAGAAAAGGGGAATTGATCATTAAACATGGTAGGTTCCATCCCCTTTTATCTGTTTTCCCTATCTTCCGGTGCCCTGGATGATTAAGAGTCTATTCTAGATGCTTGTTTATTCATTCAGCATGTATTTATTTGGTCTCTTCCCTCTGCCTAGCCCCTAATATGTGAATGATATTAGGACATCCCAGCCAATGGCTGCCTTCCAGGAGCTGACCTTGGCAAAGAATGGGCCAAGATGTAGTAGCCCCTGCAGTTCTCAACCGAGGCTGTGATATATAATCATCCAGGGAGCTTTCAAAATTGCAGCCCCCAGACCCATCCCTAGAAACTCTGGTTTGGTAGGTCTGGGGACTTCTCCAGGTACCTCTGTAGCTTTTAAAAGTTCCCCAGCTGATTCTGATGTACAGCCAGGGTCGAGAACCCCTGGGAGACTCTTGAAAAGACAACTCACCTTTGGCAACTTGAAGTCCACTCGAAGAGGTGCATTCCCTAGGATCTAGCCGTTCCACTCTTGGGTCTGTGCCCTAGAGACACCCTCGCACGTGTGCCCAAAGAGGCGTGTTCAGCAATGTTTACAGCAGCATCATTCGTAAGAGGGAAAACTGGAGATGACCTAAACATCCCTGAATGTTGAGTGGGCACCTTAATTGTTGGATGTGTACAATGGGATGCTCTACAGCAGTGAAAATGAGTGGAGAGCTGCTCGTATCAACACGGAAATAACATCATGTTGGGCAAACGAAGCGTGCCGCAGTGTAAGGTTTGAAGAAATCCAAAACACCATTATATACTCAAATACCCGTCCGTGCGTGTGCACAGCAGCACTATTCACAACAGCCAAAGGGTGGAAACAGCCCAGGTGTCCGTCAGCAGATGATGGAGAAACAGAATGTGGTCCACGTGCTGTCATTCAGCCGTAAGAAGGAAGGTGCTGAGACATGCTACACTGTGGGCGAACCTCGAAAACATGATGCTACGTGGAAGAAGACAGACACGAAGGGCCACAGACTGTATGATTCCATCAATGCGAAAGACCCAGAATAGCTGAATCCCTGGAGACGGAGTGGATGGATGGTTGCCAGGGGCTGGGGGCGGGGAAAATGGGAGTTGGCTGCATAATGGTTTTGGGGTTTCTTTTTAGGGCAATGAAAATGTTTTGGAATTAGAGGTAGCGGTTGCACAGCACTATGAAGGCACTAAATGCCACCGACCATTCACTTTAAAATGGTTAATTTTATGTTATATGAACTTCACCTCAATATAAAAGGAAAAACGTCTTTATAGATATAGACACATGTTGTAGCAATATAAAAAACAAACATAGAATGACAAGCACCGAAGTCAGGTGGGTGTTTGTAAAGGTTGAGGACAGGGGATGGGATAAATGCCGGGTTTGCAGGGAGCCGGAACTAGATTAGCAGTGTTCTTTTTGTTAGGTTGAATGGTGGTATGTGGGTGTTTATTATTCTTAATATATTGTAGTATTTCTATAACATTCATTAAAAAAAGAAAGCTCATCAAGAAAGACGTTGGGGCTAGAGATCCAGATTTGAGATTCAACCGGCACATATGACACAGAGCTATGAACTGTAATTCCTTTGACAAATAGATAATACTTGTTCAATGATATATTTCAGCCTTGAATCACAACATGTATGCGGTTGTGCAATGTTTTTTTGTGTTGGAAATTGTGACCTTCTCCCAGAAGGACACCGGGTCAGTGTGGCCCACCATTCGGGAAGCTCGATTCTGATCTCATATTCATTCCAGGATGCACAACATGTTAGAGATCAGCCTTAACAGAATCCAGCTGTCTCGTAAATCAGAAAACTTATCTTTGTATAATAACAAACACATCATTTTAAGATTTAAAATGCTCCCGAGCTGCATCAGTGGAAAAAAGAGGAAAAGAAAGAGTTTGCAATACCCTGCCCCATCCCAGAGACTGCCCAGAAGCTCTCTTCCACCTCACACGATGACTCACACAAGCCATGCCACCTGTCCTGAATGAGGACATAGCTGTCTGGCTCCCTTTCTGCACCAAGAAGCTACAATTTTGTGTGTCTGGAAGCCTGCAAAACCACTGGCCCCTAGAGCAAACAGGACCATGCAGTGGTTGGCGTTTGCCTGCGCTTTACAGTATATGCAGAGAGAGATGACTGGGGACCAGAAAACTGAAGAGAGTCCGGGAAGGTGAAAGAGGCCAGTGTGAGAGGAGCCTGGGCAGTGACAGGCTGAGAGGAGGGCTGTGGTGGGGGGAGGAGGCGGCAAGGAGGAGAGCGAGGTCAGCCCGTGGAGCCCTCAGGCTGGCACACTGCACTCTACTCACCAGATGTAGATGACAGTGCCCACAGTAAAGAGGTTCTTCAGAGTGCCAATCCAAATGCTCTGAATGTGAACGACTTTCTTGACTCTCACAGACAGGCATGCCAAGGGGAGCTGGCCCGGTGCCGGCATGGTGGGTGAGGGGAGCCTCAAAGCGTGGCAGGGAGGAAGTAGCTCACGACAAAGCCTGGCCCTGTCTCACAGCGCCTGGGCTCACTGAGCAAAGGTAACTCTAAAGTGAAAGGACATGACCTGAAAGTGAACTACCTCCCATCTGGTTAACCAGTGCCTAAGCCTGGGCCAACAGATTTTTTTTGTGTGGGCCCCTAAGAGAACATGTCCACGACTTATTCGAAAAGAGCTAGAATGTGTGGACATAGGTTCTGACACATGAGTTTGCTGGTGGGGAGTGGCTCACAAACAAACAGAGCTCTTGATCCTACAATCGCAGGGAATTGAATTTTGCCAACAAGAACGAGCTTGGGAATGAATCCTTTTCCCGGGTGCCAAGATGAGAACTCAGCCCAGCTGACACTTTGATTCCAACCTTGTGAGTCCCCAAGCAGAGAACACAGTCACACCACTCCCAAACTATTGCCCTACAGAACCGTGAGCTACTAAGTGGATGGTGTTTTATGCCACTGAGTTTGTGGTAATTGGTCAAGCAGCAATAGAAAACTTTCACAGCCCCAGAAGCCCCTTCTTCCATGGGGAAGCTCACAGCCAGCGGAGGGCCAGAGTGAGGTTTCTGTAGCATGGGCTCCTGGGAGGTGGCCCCCATGATATAGGTCAAGGCTGGTGCTGCCCCCATAAATTCCTGAAGGTGATTTCTGCTCACACCCACCACCTCATGGTATTCCTTATGTGCTAAAGCATTGCATGGCACTTATGTTTGAAAAGCTTGGTTCTCATGACTTTGTCCTAGCTCCAAGGGTGGCCAGGAAATTAGGTTGTGACATCTAGTCGAGAAGTGGTCTATAATATGGGATTGCCCCATAGTTACGCTGTTCAAATCGTGATTACCATGAAACTTTGTCATGGATGTTTATTTTTTGTCTGTCTCGTCCCCCCCACCCCATCTACCACTTGCTTTTTCCATTTCTTCTTGCAGCAGAGTTCTTCTTTTCTAAGGAAAAACCACTGGATGTGGTTCAGGTCTGGTTCATTCAGCTTTGCCGCCCTTTCGCTACTTCCGGCCACAGGAGTAACCACATGACCCAGGGCTGGCCAATCAGGTGACGCCATGCCCTTGGCCTTGGCGATTGTTTGAGGGATGGAAAGGCAACTCGAGCTCAACAAATCAGAGTCTTTCTTGGGACTTTCTTGCTAGAGTTTCTATCAGGAAAGACTTGTTTGTTCCTCTGCAGTTGCTAGGTGGGGAAGATATGAGGTTATGACTGTGCTATACTATATAGAGAGGCTATTCAAGAAGAAAGCCAAATAGAGCCAAGATATGGAGAGAGAGAGAGAGAGAG